GCCTGTGGAATGGGCTGTTGAGCGATGGGTCCCTGACCCATGGGCGGTGGATGGCTGGGTCGTTGAGAAGCTGGCAACGCGCATTCAAGTCCCTCTCCTCCTCGCATGGGCGCTTAGCATACATAAAGCACAGGGCCAGACACTGCACCGTGTTAAGGTAGATCTTGAACGCGTATTCGAGACTGGCCAAGCCTACGTTGCACTATCACGCGCAACGAACATGGGGGGATTGCAAGTTCTGAACTTTCACCCAAACAAGGTCACAGTACATCCTAAGGTCAAGGCTTTCTACGCAAGTTTGTCAGAGTAAAGGATGTGGGCAACTTAAGCTCGCAATGGTTCATGATTCAGTGTTGAAAATTGTTAGATCTTTTAGATAGGCTGCGCAAAGCATGGAAATGAGGTGTATGGGCGCCTTACGATGGTCTGGAAATTTGCTCCTCTTGAATTGTGAAACCAATAGCTCGGCCCGGGGGCGGCCAGGCCCCCTGGGGGGCGGGTGGTGGTAGATATCCTTCAAGGCCTTGTTCCCGCAACTTGACGGTCCAACACCTGTCCTGTCCTGCAAGCTGCCACCGATGTTGCCTCCCTAGGCACTGGAGTCTCTAGGGGAGGCCGCCTGTGATTGCGCCAATCGTCACGACCGGACTTGATCCATAAGTAAGGGGACACAGAGGCAACTCTGCGATGGGTTATCCAATGGGAGCCGGAGGAGACCGTCCCAGGGGCATGTTCCCAGCCAGTAGAGATGGTGGTTGACCAATCGAACTATCGACCAAATTGCCGGTATTTAGTTGCCTATAGTGAACAACATGAATCGGTTTGGAACCTAACGTGTCGATACATAAACGACTCGTGCCCGAAATCGTCACCCCGGCCAAGAATAGCGTTGCACGACCTACGTTAGTGGGCTGGTAGGATGCTCATCCTGGCGCCCAAGGGCACCAGTGGGGCCCACTAACCACGCGCCACCCGACAATCACATTGGCCTCACAAGCTGCGCAGAGCTACGGAGGCCAGAGTCTTTTTTTCCTTACAAGTTTATCGCCACCGCATATTCGTCTCTGTCGTCCAGGGAAAAGTGATGACTGTGTAACAGCCTGCCTTGAGGCTGTTCGCGAGGCGTACAGCCCCTGCCCGTGTGACGTGCTTGCAATTGACTGGGGTGTCAGGCAGCTGGCCCGATTTAAGGCAACCAGGTGGCTGAAAACAGTTCCCTGCTTACACAAAACTAGACCCTTGGATGCTGGTGCCAGAAATGACACCCATAGCAGGCTGGCTAGGTATATATACCCTGGGGCATCGGCAAACTGCTGGAGCAACTATGTTCATGTGATGGGTTGATACCACAAAAGACGACGTGGTGAATGCATTTCAAGCCCTTCCAATTCCGGTCTTGTCAACTTTTTTTTTTCTTTTTAGCTCATGAGGGTCTGGTCCTGACCTGCTGCAACACGTGCACTTAGCACCGTTGTTGTGACCTGGGACAAATCAACTTCCGAGGTTTAGCCTGAGGCTTCCTTGTGTGCATGTGGGCGCAGAGCGTCGCGACATCGCGAAGCAAACAATACCAGCAAACCAACAAGAAGACGAACAACGTGCAAGTACATTTAAACCATTGACGCTACACTAATATCCCGAATCAAGCCACCCGATAGATCTTGCTATCAAGGTGGTAACCGACCGTTCCCTCACGATCGAACCGAGCCCAACCAGCCGAACTCACCGTCGCCGAATCGCCCTGTGGACCACAACGAACGTCGACAACCCGTACCTCACCCCAGATTGGTATATTGATCTATCGCCTGAAAAATTTCCAATTTCCATTCGTTTTGCCTCTCTGGGGAGAAAGTACTATACCGTCCGCAAGCCATTCTCACAGAGCAGAGCACCCTCTGCCCCCCAACCACCACCCCCGAAGCCCCAAGTTCCGACGACGTCGACCAGCGATGCTCTCCCTACAAACCTCTACGAGGAAAGTTTTTCTTATAGAGCGATAAAGAGGATACACATCAGGGTTTCCTAGCTAGGGTAGCCATTCCCCTAGCTTACATAACCATTATTGAGTCAACTCAATCATAAAAACCGATTTCCAAGTGCACTACCGAAACAAATAGGACCGGCAGGGCGGACGACGAGCTCCCACCTCCACGTGGTGTTCGCCGGGAACTCAGAAACAGTTGGACTGTCTCTGGGTGCCAAGAGGAGTTCAACGACGCGATTATCATCCTCTCTACAACGCGTCGACACGCCGAAAAACAGAGCCTCCGAACCTCACGATACACCATACATTACAGTCCCAGTACGGTAGAGGGGGTTGCGCCTCTCTCATGTACGCCCTACGATAGAGAATGGATTGGATACTCTATTTGTCCTCCCCGACAACGGGTTCGACCAGGCAAAGGCCAGAATGACTAGCAAACTTCCAGTTATCCGCTGATTATTTACCAGTCAGCGTAAATAGCTTTACCATAATAGTCTTCTCCTCGAAGTTTCCCAGTAGTACGATGGCTGAGGACTGGTAATCTGCGGCCATGCCAGGTCTGGGGCCTAAAATTAGCAGTAAACTCTCGCCAGCCTCCTTATTGTTTACTGGTAAGCGGGTGGCAGCTTACTAGAAATGATTTCAGGGAAAGGTATACCAGTAATGCAATAACCCTAGACTGGCAAGATGCGAAAGCAGACTGATTACGATTACTGGTAAGCGCGACCGCAATAAACGCATGGTTCTAAATTTACCAATAAGCGCCAGGGATGGTAAGCGCCAGCGGGCAGAACCCTTCGAACAGAAGCAGGAAGTGGAATACGCCCAAGTTTACTGCTAAGCGCCGAGGATGGAAGCGTTCACAGAAAACGGAGCTATGGCCTCGTGTACTGGTAAATTACCCGCGCATACAGATACAAGACAGAAAGCAGCAAGACTGAAAACGTCCTGTGTAGCGCTGGGCGACGAAAGGCGGTGGGGCAGCTTTCTGGCGATAGGCAATCCGCACCTATGGGAGGCCCGCAATTACTGCTAAGCGCCACCGGGCAGGATCGTTTATAAATGGTAGATTACCTGCGCATGCTGATAAAAGATAGGAAGCAGAAGTACGAAACGTCCTGTGGAGCCGCTTAGTGGATAGATTCAGTGCCGCGGATTTCTGGGCATCCTCCCAGGTTGGTGGGTTGCTTTCTCTACGATAGGTAATCCTATAGCAGGGCCACGATGGGTGGGGGATCCTTTTAAGAGAAAGCAGGGAGCCCATATCTCTCTAATTTCCTGATTAAAAGCTCCTTAATGCATCTCGACGAGCTTGCTTATCTCTATCGCAACCCTTTTAATAAAATATAACTAAACGGCTAAAGATGCTTCATTCCGATAGCCTTCCCGGCCAATTCGGCCTACTAGGTATCAAGCCTGCACAGGTGGAGCAGTAAGTACTCTTGATATTTAGCTCCTGGCACCTTATCTAACTCTCCGGTGACAGGGTATTGACCACCTAAGTAACCAAGTTCGCCATCGGGGGCAGAAAAATTGAATTTAGCATATACTTAGGCTTAATATCGGCCTTGTCCACCCGGTTGCATTCTCTCATCTAGGGGCCTCCTAAGTAGATGGGACTAAGGAAGACTGCGTACCCTTCGAGGATGTTGATGACGACGTGTTCTCACGCTTCGTCCAATTCGCTTATTGCGGATCATACGCGGGCTTTGATCCGGCCGGGGAAGATCTCCGAGAAAGATCTTCTAGAGTAAGCACCATAGACGAGACTAGAAGCATAAAGTCAATCGATGGCCCTGACTCGCTCCTAACTGGTATAACTACTAGTGGCAGGTCTTCCGGCTTTGGACTATTTGACTTCGGACACTGGGACAAACCGATCTTCGGATAGACCTCAGTGATATAGTCCACTGGCGGGCCCCCCGAGCAGCTGTCAGAGAGACAGGGCACTGCCAGAGTCTTCGGGCAGTCTTTGGATAGAAGTCACTTACTGGGGCTTCCCTACTCTCTTGCATCCTGGACGACAACTGCGACAGATGAATATTGCAGCTAGGTCAAGTCGAAGGGGCGAGTTCCTTGCAATTGTGAATTGCGGAAGCCCAGACGTCGCGGAAAGAAGCAAGAATATATGTCCAATTTCATGCGAATATATATCCCTGTGACCGACCTATTGCAGAACGTTCGACAGTCCAGGTCGGACCCGCGGTCAGAGCATTTTAAGTATATCTTGATCGGGCATATAAGAGTATGGGCCTTCGCCCGAAGATTTGCCGTTAAACCACTCATGGGTTTATCTTGCATAAACCTGGCCCGGGAGTTGGTGTATTGGGTCATATCTGTGCAAACGTTCATGCCTATTTTTGGAGACCTTGTTCGCTTTATTTACGGCAACTGCGAAGGGGATAAGCTGCGCCTGCTTGTGGCATAGTTTGCTACCTGTGTAGTTAAGGACGTGTCTCATCTGGAAGGCTGGGACGAGCTGTTGACTGAGGTACCAGCTTTTGCCGTGGGCTTGGTTCGTGAGTTAGCTGATCGATATGCTTCAGGTTCAAAGTAGCGTGTATATCTTTTTTCTTGTTTTTTCCTTTGTGTAACATAGTTAAAAATGAAATAACAATATATAAGATTTCATTGAACCAATTCTCTATCTCATCGTGAAACCCATGAGTCGGAGGCACCTAGTAAGCGAACGCTTCCCTTTACCCGTATTGGCAACTGCCCCTGTATATGCGTAGTAGCTCGGTATCTAGAATGCTGTTCCGGGAACTATTTCCAGAGCACGACGCGGAAAACGGACTTAGAGAACGTACTAAAGCAGGTTTTATCACTTGCGTATATAGGAAAAGTTTTCAGTAAAGATCCTAGGAAACTAACTCCAAAAGTCGTCGTCATGCTGCCTCCCAAATTCCGGTTTTACAGAACTATCAGCAACCGGCGAAAGTATATAATGCCTCTCATCTGTGTGTCCTTGTTATGAAGCCCGTCGAATCGAGAATGGTGCAACAGCTCTGCCAACATGCCTGAGGTAGAACAGCGGTTGTTTGTTAGGAGCGCCTCGACTTACGAGCCTATGGATGTTGACAGCGAACACAAACATCTTGAGTCTAAGACGAGGCACGAAGACAATATCACTCTTGACTTCATGCAGATCGACAGCGAAGACACGACAGCGAGGATCTCTGTGAAGTCGACTTTTGGACCCGGAGCTTTTAGCAAGCTCCCCACAGATCGCATGGGGTTAGAGCATTCGAAAACCAGGAAGAATTCCGCCAATATAGTGTCATGCCGCAGGTCCAAGAGCCAGAAAGTCCAAGGCCAGCTTGGCACATCAATGACCCAGAATTTTAAACAACATACTCCGATCCATCATCAGAAGTGGCGACTACCTAAATCACCAGGGAAAGACCTTGAGAAGATCCGCAAGAGAAAGTTAGCACGTGTGACTTCCCTTAGCCATAGGCTCGTCGGAAACGAGCCGTTGAACTCCTTCGCCGAGAATTGCCAAAAGACGATAGCAGACTGGATCTCACTACTGAGCAAGACAACATTACCAAGTGACATCGAGAGTTCAGACCCCTATATCATTACCGCATTTAAGGCTATGGACAGTGTTATTTGTGGACAATAAGGGACATACCTGCTCCGACGCTTGGCTTATATCCAATTGATGCGACTCTTTGCTTCTCTTGAAGCTATTATAAAATCTGAAAGAGATACTAGGCGGATCTTCCGAGAGCCTAGCTATGGAAACGCGAGCATTACTATCGACATATATATAAGCGCCCAGGAAAGCCATTTACATCCCGACGATTTGAGGCGTCAGCTAAGAGAACGCAAGCGAACTGGTAGGAGGTGGAGGGACCTAGCGAGTCTATCTCTACCCTTTGTTCTAATGTATTCGGAGGCATCTGAGCCGATCGTGTAAATATGCCTTACCCTTCTTCCTAGTTACACTATCACGCTAATCATCTAAAAGAAAGGACTTTAGAAGATTAGACGGCGCAACCCTGAAGTTAGTGGCGACTAGAATCCTAGAGGAGTGTCTAACCCAGCTCGTTCGTGTGTGTACTCGTCTCACCGATAAAGCAGAATTAGCAGTCAGATTCGATCATCTATTTGACATGGGTTAGATCTCAGCCGCGCGAATCAGACAGTCTCTTGAGCCCGTTTAATATATTAGAAGAGTCGATGTTTGTTCCGAGTTAAGGGTTCTACGTCGCCTGAAGTTCTATGTCGTCAAAAAGTTCTATGTCACCTAGAAGTTCTATATCGCTAAGAAGTTCTATGTCGTCTAGAAGTTCTGCGTCGCCTAGAAATAGTTTAATGTCGCCTAGAAGTTCTATGTTACCTAGAAGTTCTATGTTATCAAGAAGTTCTGCGTCGCCTAGAAATAGTTCAATGTCGTCTAGAAGTTCTGTGTTACCTAGAAGTTCTATGTCGTCCAGAAGTTCTGTGTCACCTAGAAGTTCTGCGTCGCCTAGAAGTTTTATGTCGTCTAAAAATAGTTTAATGTCGCCTAAAGTTCTATGTCGTCTAGAAGTTCTGCGTCGTCTAGAAATAGTTTAATGTCGCCTAGAAGTTCTATGTCGTTGAGCAGTTCTGTGTCACCTAGAAGTTCTGCGTCACCGAGAAATAATTCTGTGTCGTCTAGAGATTCTATGTCGTCTAGAAGTTCTATGTCGCATCATAGTTAGCAAGCATCCCCACCCTGGATGTCTCCTTAGTTTGCGTGGCTCCGCTCTAGAATCGGAAAGGTAGGGGCGCTAAACCCCGGAAACAGCAGCTAGATCTGGTTTCTAAAAACAGAGACAGCAATGAGCAACAGGTCCCGATCTACGTTCCCTGTGTCACGGCCATGACATGGGCCAGGCGGGGAACCCCGGCAGAATGGCCTGACTAAGCATAGGACCGATGGGACCGAACCACCAACACGGCGGTCCTACCCTGGACCGAAGCAATGAAAGAACGGTCCAAGGACTCGATTCGTGGCCGATTGCTGGGATGCGCCCCCGAAGCGCGCACTCAGGGCCGGGCGCTGGGAAGGGGCGCCCGCTGCAGGGTGCTAGGCCTGCCGCCAGACCTCGGCGGCAAGCAAGGCCCATGGGCCCATGGGCGACCTCCCGACAACTGGCACAAGAGATTTTTTTTGCCAAAAGAGCTAGAGGGAGATATGCTACTCGTGTTACTAATTTGGCCTTATTTAATGTTGTCTGTAAATGAAAATTTTCTATATATTAACGTCTTTTTTTCCCCCTTTCTGGCAGCGTGTTTGGTCCCGATCCTAAATAGGTATCGTTATTTAAACGTTATTGATATCACGATTCTATATACCCCGCAATCCGATATATGTATGTAACTATCCTCCTGTTAACATCTCCTCATTGCAGCTATTCCGCCCCTTTATAGTATGGCCTGGGCTACGAGTAGCCCACGTTTAGGTCATCAAGTCAGCAACCCCCTACTAGTAGCCGATAATTGCTAAGCAGAGGCAAGCTTGCTAAACAAGTAGTCTATTAGCAGCAGTCTACTAGTAGCCTATAATTGCACCACCCAGTGGCCTTGATGACCAAAACATGGGGCTACTTGTAGCTTGCATGAGACCTCTGGGGTCAGCCTTACCCTAGGGTGGTTATCTGCTAGTAGCTGTAGCTATTGAAAGTAAGCTTGCTAAGTAAAGTAGTCTGCTAGTAGCTGTAGCTATCGATCCTAATCCTGCTAGTAGCCTATAATTGCTAAGCAAGGAAGCCTACTAGCAGGAGAGTTAATGACTTGAATGACCTAACCATGGGCTGCCTGTAGCTTGCATGGAGACTTCTAATGTTAGCCTTACCCCTGGCTACTAGTAGTCAACTCGTAAAGCTATCATTGGACAGTGAAAAATGGGTAGAGGATCACCAGTCCGCATTCTTGCCAATAGGCCTATTTTAAGGCCCGTTTGAGCTTGAGGACCTAAACTGGGCAGCCAATCTAGCAGCTAGCCGAAATCGTCGAAAAATCATCAACTAGGAAATTTCGCTAACGAAGTCTGCTCGAGGAAGACGACGAATCCCAAACAAGGAAGACTCGATGGCGGGGATTTTCCGAGAACTTCGAGCAAACACCCCTGGCGAGTTTTCGCTGGTACAGGCTGGTCTAGGTTTTCGGACAATCCAGCCTGGAGAATTATCGCTGACAGCGTCTGCTCCGAGCTTTCGGATAGTCTTGTCCGACGAATTATCGCCTATAGAGTTTATATGAGAATATCGATGAAACCCGGCCTGAGAAATTCCGCTGCTAGAGTCTACCCGTTCTTTTCGGAAAATCCCTTCTCTCGGCCCCTTAAGCCACTATGTCTCGCTGGACTGGTTGATCTCCCTCCGTTATTGAAGAATGACGTAATACACCTAGATAGCTAGACAGAGGGGCCCGGATCTAATTATGCGTGACGTATGCATCACCGGCCGCCTTTTGGCGACGCTGCTTAGGCTGCTATTCTGGATAAAGCATGTAGACTTCTGGCAGCTACTGCGGTTGAGACATCACAGCATGATATAAGGGCTAGAATAACACACGGCAAAGTTTCATGATTATCTACTAACGACCGATTTATGTCTACTCTATTGCACTGGCTTGCACTGTTTCCTGACCATTTGGCGGCGACTTACCTTGCGCTGTCGCCTCTGCCTCACTTGCTCTGAAGTCCGCAGCGCAACACCATGGACTTCCTTAACATGACGCCGGAAGTGGTTGACGTGCTGCAATTTGATGCCTCGACATTCGGGATGGTCGCACCGTATTATCTCTCCTCTCCGCTCAGCTTGCTCGCGTCTGACTAGATGCTGGTCATCGAAATGGTCGTTCATAACAGTCGGGCGGCAGTATGCAAAGGTACGCTCTTCACGAGAGAGGCGCTTATCGCCGATGTAGTCGGGACATTGCGCAGCATGCAGGAGCAGAGGGAATCGATCGGGGCTGGGCAACGTTTTGTGTTCTATTTCGGGAGGCTCAGTCTTTATAGATAGATAGGCTTTGGCGCTCTGTCGAGCACGGGAGCGCCTGACTGTCTCTCTTTTGCCACAGAGAGCCACCATGAGATCGATGGACTCGATCCTTCGTTGGGCGATCTAGTCTTCGGTTAAGTCGTCGGGCTAGTGATAGAGGATCTCTGCTAGCTTCCCGCGTTCCGGCATAGTGATATCGATAATAGGCTCCTCGTACTCCTCTTCCTCCTCCCCTCGTATCTACCGTTTAATATCCTAGGTAGGATAGTAGTAAAAGTAGTCCTCACGGTATTCTTTAACGACTTGCTTAATACGCTATATCCGCTTTACGCGAATTTTATTAGTGAGCTTCCGGATTTATTTCTTATACTTATGGCCTTCGATGCGGTACTTGCCCTGCTTAAGCTGTGCATGCTGCTCTTCGAGCTTGATGATCTCCGGGTCGGGCGCTAAGTTTACCTAGACTTTATTAGGCACTATATCCGCTGTGGCTCGAGGATTACGCGTAAGGCTAACATAGGCGAATAACCGGAATAGCTCGCTCTCCTTCTCCTCTTCTAGGAAGGCATTCTAGATATCGAATTTAATATTCTTATTTAGGTAGGCGCTTTAGAAGGTTATGAACCGAGGGTCTTAGCGCATTATCTAGTCGCGGACCGAGTCGGGTGCATCCCCTATGAATAAGTATGGTTAATATAATATTATAGTGATAGGGTAACGGCGAGGCGAGATAAGACTCGCGTCTACTTCGACATAGGGATATATAGATATATACTATTAGTAATATTCCCGGCGCCTCTCCTAGTAAACCGAGGCGTCTATTTCTTCTTATATCCCGAGTCGAGGCTCTATTGGCTAATATTATCTCTGAGCTTAGAGTATAGCATAGCCTCACTAGAGAGCTCTGCGCCACGGTACCGGCGGAAGACCGGAGTTAGTAATATCTCTTTTGTCCACCGCAGGGGGGTATAGTGCATAAATCGTAGCGGCTTCGACTTTAATATAATAGCTGCGTTTATTAAACTCGGGGCATTAAAGGCCTTATTATATAGGGTAATAGCGAGGATTATAGAAATTACGTAGAAGAGAAGCTTCTAGGCGGGGGTAAAGTAAAAGATAATACTATAAGAACTATTAGTAAGCCGAACGCTAGGGGTGGTCGCCCTTCGGGGCAAAAAGGATGATAGATATATGGCTTAGGCCTATTATTGGCGCCCTTATGATAGATGAACTTAATAGCTATGGCCGGCATATATTGTCCGGTAACTAGGTATTAAATGATTATTATTATGATATCCTCGTAGCAGAGGGCCTTAGGACGCCTGCGTACTATGGGCTCCTAGGAGAGAAAGCCACTAAGCAGCTCGGAATATTTATCCGCCGGAGTATCCTACTCTTCGCCGCTACCGGGGGAAGACGACTAGACGGCGTTCTAGCTAAAGAGCTCTTGGATAGAACTATCCTTCGGCTTCTGCCGCTCGCTATCTATAAGCTCGGCCGGCCGCGCGCCTGTATAGCATAGGAGCTAGTAGTAGCTAGTTAGACTAATGCGATGCCGTTCGCCTGGGAAGATACTTATATCGTATGTGATATTAAATATTAGGATAATATGTAAGTTATCGATATTAAGTACTGGCTTACTATCTATATTCGGCGCGCGGTATCCGAAGCGGGGGATAAGTATTTTGCGATAATATTACTGCGTTTTAGTTAGGCGGGACTAACGTGCCGGTCAGGGCTCCTTGATATACCTTATAGATCTCCTTAGTGTTATTCCTATCTATATACTGGCTATTCACCGTGGTATATAGCTACTAGAACTAATAAATATACTCGTGGCCGCTGCCCTATGATATGATCTTAGAGCGTTCGTAGATATAGAGTAGAAAGTCTTATATTATTCCGCGGTCGAGGTTCTCGATCATTGCTTTCTAATCGCTAACCTCTATATCGGCGTAGTATCTATATGGGATAGAGTTAGTAGATAAAGAGCTTATAAAGGGAGTCATAGGGATAGATAGCTTTATATACCGCCTCTACTTATTAAAGATGCCGCTAATATTAATCTCCGTTTAGTTAGAGTATTTAGGCTTAATAAAGCGTATATTGCCTAGCTACGCCTAGTAAGTAGCGTATTCTTTAATGGTAAGCGCGGGTTATTGCCTCGCGGCTTATTTCTATGCTTGCCGGGCATAGAAGCATTTAAGGAAAGATGTATAGTTCTCGTGGAGACTACCTCTGGTGGTAGTCGCGATGGTGGCCATAGAGCCGGTAGGTATTTAGCGAGGATAAAGGACGTAGGCAGGCTAGCGATTAATGATGGCTATGAGAAAAAGAGAGCATAAGGGATAAAGAATGAGGTGAATAATCGGGAGGCTAAGGCCATCCGGAGTAGACCACTGCCGCTATTTATAGTCAGAGTAAGCCATAATGGTTCGCGTAGGCTAACCTTAAGCGGTAAGCGATAGATTTATCCTGAGCAATAGGAAATGGAAAGGGCATATAGGGTATTGAAATTAGATGCGCGCTCGCTGATGGAGGGGGGGACTAAAATAGGGCCCTATCTATTAGCACGTGCGGGGGATCTAGGCGCGGGGACCAGCGCAGGTATATAGTACCTGCCCCGCGACCTCTTATCGCTGGACTCCCCGCACTACTCGTGCCTGCTAAAACGGCGACACTTTCCGCCCGATTTAGCGGCTCCAGCAGCGCTTTCTCGGTTTATGGAGTAAATTTTAATATTAGTTATTATATTTATTATAGAATTAAAGGTAATATTTCTCTTTTTATAAGTTATTATCTATCTTAAGGTTTTATTAATTCTAAATTTAGGCTATTATTAATTATTATTAAGCTTTAGCTCTAGCGCTATAATTAAAATCCTTATTATATCGCTTAATTTATTTTATTATTATATTAATCTTAGCATTAAGGTCTTTATTAGGTTTATTAATTAGTTTAAATAATAATTCTTATCTTAATTTATTTATAAGATAGAATTATTTTATTTTTAAGGGTTTTATTATAATATATTATAGTTTTAGCTAAGGGTAATTATTATACTTAAATTATTCCTTATTAAGGTATACCTAGTTATAAGGCATAATAACTTCTCTTAGTTTTAGATTAATATTATTATATTTAGTCTAGGCTATATTAAGTATTTTAATTCTTTAAAAAGCTATTTATAGTTTATTATTAGCTTATATAAACCTTATTTATTTCTTACCTTTAGGGAATTATTATTATTATAGCTAATAATAATCTTCCTTAATATTATATTATTTCTTATAGTAAATCTTCTTAATATAATTTATCTTATAATAATATTAATATTTAAGTCTATAATAATTGCGCTTTTTCTATTAAGTTATTCTAAGTTTTATAGGTCTTGTATAAGTTCTATAAGATATATTAGTTTATTAAGATTACCCTTAGTAGGTATTAAATTAAGGTTTTTAATAGTTTTCTTTATTATTATAGGGGTTTTAGAGTTTCTTCTAAGAGAATTATTAATTATTAATCTTAATTACTTAGCTAATATAATTAATAAGGTTATTAGGCTAGGCTTCCTTATAGAGTTTAGCCTTTACCTCTTTTTCTATATATAAGAAATTACGTAATAGCCTAAAATAGCTTAATATACTTTTCCCTTAACTTATAGCTCCCTATAAGGCTTTAATACCTATCCTTATAGCTCCTAAGAAGCCTTATTAAAACCCCTATTAATTCCTCTTCTAAAGTTATTAACTCCTTCTAATATATTAAATTACTTCCTAAATAAGGCTAATTATTTAATTAATTATCCCAGTTCTTTTAATACTTTTTTATTCTTTTATTTTTACTCTCCCTTAATATTATTATAAGTATCTATAGCTATATAGCTATAGCTAAGATTTTATCTTATTAAGATAGTCTTATTAACCTAGTAGGGAAACATATTATATAATTTCTAATTAATAGTCGCTATATAGCCTAGTTTCTTACCTCTCTAAGCTAGCCTTTCTCTCTAGGGTTACCTAATATAGCTTATATACTAGGTCTAATAACCTTCCTCTTTAATATTAATTTCTTATTACTTATATAATTTAAATAATTAAAGTCCTTAATACCTTAAATCTATAGACTTTCTTTTATAATATATAGGCGCTTATCTTAAGTCTTACCTTAAATACTTATATTTATTATCTAATTAGATAATTTAGCTAGAGTTTTTTTTTTAATTTTACTTATATTATTTTTAGAAGAGGCTAAAGGCTTAAAGGGCTCAAATTTTAATCTACTAAGAGATAAAAGCTAGCTATACTTTAAGGTATTTAATCATAAATTAGCTAAAAGCTTTAATAAAATCTTAGGCTAGCTCTTCTTCTAAGGCGCTAAAATTATAAGCTTATCTTTATTTTTTTTAAAATAAAGCTAATTAGCTTTATAATTAGCTTCTTTTTTTTCTTTAAATTATTAAAGTCTAATATTACCTCCCTATTTATGTAGATTAATATATTATCCTTAACCTTAATCCCTTTATTAATATATTATTTAATTATATCCTAAGGGAATATTAAGAGGGTAATTTTAATCTATAGGGATATAAAAGGCCTAGCTCTTAAAGGGACCTTAGCCTTTGTATTATCCTTAATTATAAAGGGTATAATTAAGTAATAAATCTATTAATTACTAATATAGCTAATATCCTTAATATCTATAATTATATATCCTCTTAAATTAATATAAAGCTAATACTTTAGGACTTACTTAATAAATTTAAGAGAGGTATAATTAATTAAATTAATATAATTAAACTCTTATAATTTAACCTAAGTATAGGAGATTTATTTCTTAAAATGCCTATCCTTAATCCTAAGTTTATTAATAATAATAATTTAGTAGATTCCCTTAAGGCTATTTAGATTATTATTATAAAAGGTATCCTTAGATATCTTATTTATAATCTAATTATTAAGTAATTAATTATAAATTAATAGATTAAATAAAACTAAAGGTATTTATTCTTTTTTATTAATTTTTAGAGCCTTAGGAGTATAGATTATATTAAGTTTAGTATATATTAATCTTATTAGACCTTAAAGGGT